TCTACCAGTCCCGCAGGGACTACACATCTTTAATCAAGTCAAGGACATAGCATATTTATCTCAGTAATATAATTTTGTGCTACAAAGATGAAATACACATAAAAAGAAACAAACAAAAAAGACAAAACGACTCTATCTTCTGTTGCATCACCTTCATTGGAAGTAGCTGTGTTCTTTTTTATAAATTTATAAACTTTGGTTCACTGGCTGGTTTTACATATTTTCATTTGAAAATCTCTGAAAACTTATTATGCATACTTAATAAATTAGCCTCACCACACGCATTCAAATGCTATATTCAATCTATGGAAAAGTTCAAATGATGCAAAAGTTGAACCCTGATGCAACTGAATTCAGTGAGATTTTTTAAGGAGTCCAAGGTCTCACCAGAAGAAATTCCTTTGCCATTAACAGCAAAACATGCTGATGGGGTCAAGAAATTCTGGCACTACTGAAAAAAATCAGTGGCAATGATCAGCCATTGCCAGACACTTACAGTGACTACAGCAGACTATGTTCTCCAGAGGTGGATTCAGCATGTTTTCAAAAACCTGTCTTTTTGTTTTGTTCTTTTAAATTATTCTGTTAATGCCATTTTAAGAAAATCAGCTTAACAGAAATTAGTCTGAATTTCAAAAGTGGTTAACATAACCTTTCATGTTATCTAGGAACAGTACTAGAAACTGTGGATGTAGCAGAAAAGAAGGGAAGACATGAGGTCATCATCTCTACAAATGAAGCCTCACAGTCCACAGTCACAGAGAGGTCAGTCAGTTTTGCATGTTTTTCGGTGACAATTTCTAAAATGCATTTTTGCTGACTGATTCATGGAAAACTATGAACATGACAAATAAGTGAAGCAATGAAACATTCTTGCTACCAAAATAGGATGAAATAACTTAAGTTTTGAATTTTAGGAGCACTTGCAACCGTGCAGTTTAAGCTGGTTTAAGTTAAGCTGCCCCTTTATGCCATTCCTCTTCCTGTCCTTCCTACTGGCCTATGTGCGTGGCTGTCAGGTGAATCAGACCAGTGTATGGATGTGGCTGAATCATTCTTTTCCCTTTTCAGTTGGATCCAATTCCCTGGTCTGACTAACTTCACAGGTTTGAACACTTGCAGAACTGAGAGAATGGAGAAGAGTGGCCAAAGGGAGGGACTGTTTACAGTAAATGCTGCTGTCAATAGGAATTTACAATAAACCATAGCTAGCACAGCCCTGGCTATAGCTTCCTGGGCATTGATTGTTGGTACCACTTCTTGGGAATAGTATTCTGGGATCTGGCTACCCCAGGTACATTTGGCATAAAATTCTTCAACAATTTATGAGTATCCTTCCAGAGTTTCAATTTTGTGTCCCTGACTTAAATACATTGGGGACATAAAACAACGGAAGGAAGTACTTTGCAGCCTTTGTAGAGGCATTGCAAAATCCCCTTACACTAGAGTGATGGATTCTGTGCTTTCATTACATCCCCCTGTGAAAGTGTCCATTTTGCTTTCCACATCTTTGTCTTCTCTCCTTTGGAGGCTCCAGGCTCTGCACCAGCATAGGGAGAATGGTTCCCCTTGACTGAAGACATTTTTTATTGTTCATGGCAGCAGCTCTTCCAAAGTCTACTGTGTCTTTTTACCCGCATACCCTGGATGTATATGACACAATGGCAGATATAGCATACATTGCAGCATTTAATGATGCACAGTTTTATAAAAATAATCAGTGTTATTACCAATAAGTGCCTAAAATTTGCACACACATTGATTTTATATATTATAGCAATATATATGCATATTGATACAGTGAATTTTGAAATAGGTACATAAACATAAATTAAAAAGTACATATGCAATTATTTTAATTAGTGTTGAACTAAATCATGTCTATTACAAAAGAAGAAATAAAATACTGTCAATAGCATTTTCTTCTGTAGCCCTTTATAGCCTTTACATGACCCTCCTCCCTCATTATTTTATCTGAATGCCTTAAAAGCTTGAAAATACTGCTGCAATGTCCTGTAAAGTGTTACTGCTCCACTTCTGCAGATTGGGAAGTGATATTAAGGACTTAGAAAGCAGTGAAGAGACTTGATATGAGGTCTCAAATTCTGGTGATAAGCACTCAACGGTGGTTTCTAGAGAAATGGCTATCTGTGACTCAGAAAACCTGGCCCCTACTTGAGACAATCAAGTAGGGAAAAACGTGCTTGGATGTTTGGATGTCATGTGTGATTTTAGGAAAAGCTTTCATACATAGTATGCAAATTGAAGCTGGTAGAAGACATTTCTGTGTTTGCTCCTGGGCAATGCTAGAGAGAAAAATCTGAAGTGTGCTTAATGTCCCCAGCTGAACAATGAGCATAAAAGGTCAGTTTGGATTGTATGTGATGATCTTGAAATTCATTTTGAACTGTAATTTATGTTAGGATTTAAACCCGTATTAACAGATTGAAATTAATGAAGTTATGCTAGTTTGCACTACCCGTGTAACAAATGCATAGAGCAGGGTATTACAATAGAATGCTTCATTAGGACACGATTTATCAGCCACTTGAAGTAGGATGAATCTAAATTTGTCACTGCTGCACCATGAAGAGAAGATAAACGAAGATGTACATGTACATACATTTTCTTTAGTACTTCCTAAAAGCAGTGCTGTGCTTGTGATGGTGCCTTGTTCTGATGTTATGCGCTAAATATAGTAGTACAGACAACAGTTCCTTCCGCCTGCTTGGATAAAGATGTATTAGAATAGACAGCTTAAAAACTTTTTACCAAGTGTTGAATATAGATAATATATTTACATGTTCATTGAGTTCTTAGTCTGTTTTCTAGCAATGGTACCTATAGTGCTTTCTGCAATAAGGATCTGCCTGTTAGTCTCCAAATTAGACAATATCTTACAGATTCAGAGAGAGAATGTTTTAAGAACTTGGGCAAAAAGTTCAGAAAGGCCAAAGCAGCTTTGGCATTAAAGTCCCATTTTCAAAAGTGACTGCTCCAAAGGCACAGAACCTTAACTTCCAGCTTCTATTAACTTCATAACCATATTGACCATACTCCTCTACTCAACGCCTGCTGATCTAGCTGATCTATGAAGAGCCCTCGTGCAAAAGATTTCAGCTGGTAATGGTGATAATAAGGTGAAATGCATTGAAGCTCATTATCATTCCCCTGAACTATTTTGTTCTCTAAATGCATACACATATTAATTTGCTTTGATTTTTTTTATACATGCCATACGAATAGTTTTGAATGTCTTCTTCCAAGGAGTGTCTTCATTCACCTCTTCTCAGTTTTCACTTATCAAGGGTCAGGTTCTGTTCTGTGCTGTGTGCTTCATTACCCTGAAGCTGTTTATATTTCTCTGTGTCAAAGGGTTGGCTTCCATGACCAGCTGTAAACAATTAGTCCAACTATTTGACCAGAATTTAACAAAGCTGGAGATTGAATTAAATTCTCCAGACTTTCTAAGTAAAGGAACAGCAGGACTGATTGTGGAGAGCACAATTTAACACAATTTAGCACATATTTCAATAAAACCAAATGTCATTCTTTTCAATGGGTGCATACAGGGGTTGCTTGGAGTACTTAGCCTCAGCTTTGTCCCAAGGAGTAAGATTGAGCATGCTTTATGAGTACCTAGTGGACAATACAAAGGCAAAGGGATTTCTTTATCATTGCAGTTGCCTCAACCCATTCCATTAGAAAAATGATTTTATTAATTTTTTTATGATTCCTGACAACAAAGTGCAGGTAGTATTCTGAATAAGCCTTTGGCAAACATTCTTCATCCTTAATATGACTTTTAAAATATTTTATTTATTTCATTTATACAAATGTAAATGCTAATGCATTAACAACCACACTTTTCCTGTTCTGTTAGAAATTTCTTAGATTCACATTGCAGAATAGCTTCTTGTGTTTTAGAGAGTGTTTGCCTCTGTCATGCATTATTGATTTAACACACAATGCCACTCATTTCTCTTCAGTCTATATTATACAGGCCACCATGTCCCCAGTTATTTTGACTGTACTACATTAAGTGCAAATAACAAGGCCAACTTTTAAGTTGAAATAATTGAATGGAGTTAAACCAGGAAAATACAAAATGTAGTATCCCTGTAGCTATTTAATTCTTCTGTTATTTATGCTCAGTGTACCAAGACCAGAAATGTACAACGGAATCACTAGCTGCAGAATCGTTAGCACCATGTATTACACGTACATTGTTTTAATACCAGAGCCACTACCAATTACAGGTCTCATTCAGATGATCCCAGCAATAGATGGCATCATCAGTCCAGGTGCTAGTCAACTCATGCAGGCAGATTGGCAGAAATGTTCCTTATGCTGGGTGAAAATATTAACTACTGCATAACATATTTAGAAAAATATACTATCAAATTAATTATTCATTTAAAGCATTCATTTGGACCTATGCAACATAAGGAAAGTGAGGTTTAACTAGCTTATATGAAAATTTTTGTAAAAGCAAATGCATTAAGACAACATTTTACATGAAAATCTCACCAAATCAATGTCAAGATTCAAATGTCTATTTTTAATGTTTTAATTTTCTTCCAGTCACACAATTGTGCTGGCCCTAGAGTAAACAGTAAAACACATTTACCTGATGTGAGTTATCCCACTGGAACAATTTGTGCGAATAAAGTTTAGCACATGTCAAGGACTGCAGGCTTAGGTCAAAAGCATGGAAAATTTCCAGCATCAGAAACAAAAGAATGTGTTCATGGCATAAAAATTGGGAAATGTTTTATCGTTTGAAGTAAACAGAGACACACCTAGTCCTGTATAAGATGGAGATCTGAGTCTAAAAACTCTTTTTTTAGACTGTGCCCAAGCCTCAGGAGAGAGTTACCTTGTAAAGTTCCCTGCAGTTCTGCTTGCCCAATTGTCTAAGCTCAAGGCCTGGTGGGAATACACAGTTTCTGTCTGGCTCATGTGCCAAGATCCCCATTCTGCAGAGTGAAACATAGGATGCAGGTGATAAGGGGGAATGGGATGATAAATACCCTAGTTGTTGTCCCATTATAATACTGAGATTTAATGAAGGAACAAACATGGCTGTTGGAAGCAGAAAGCATTCTTGGGTTCTGTGGTGTCATTTATTTACTTTCTGTGGTCATCTGGAGCAATGATTTATGATTCTTTTGCCTAGGAAAGCATTACGACTGAGGCAATGAAGCCCTTGGATTTTAAAAGCAGTGAGTCAGAAGAAAGAAATTACCAAATACCAGAACACTGAATAGATTAAAGTGTAAAATGAATGTTTCCACCTTCTGTTTTAGCAAAGGTCCAAATTGCATGAAGTATCCCATACTCCTGAATTTGAAATGAAAAGTGAAAAAGAAACATCTATGGAAAATATGAAAACGGAGCTCACGAGTGAACATTTCATGGCCTTAAGCATATTTACATACTTAGACAGGCAATGTCTATATTTGATCTACAGTCTGGAAGTTACGCTAGTTTTATTGGTTTGTGTGTTAGCTTCCCAACCATATCTGATCTTTTTTATCCTCTTCCTAAAACATGGGAGGAGCAGTATGCATTTACAAAGCAGAACCACAATAGGAAGAAAAACTGCTACCATAAATGAAGGTGGTGTATACCAGATAAATTGGTTAACATCAACCCACTTATTCCAAGCAAACACCAGTGCATGAACAGTGCATAGCAGCAGAGCTAAATATCCCATCTTGCTCTGAAAAGAGAAAGAAAATAGTAAGCTATTTATTTTTTCGAACTTGGCAAAAAGAGGACTTTGTTAAGCAAATATGGAAATCAGGAAGGGCCTCAACCAACACACTTAAGTCAAAGAAAAGAGACCATTGGCTTTGAACTAAAATTTAAGAACTATAATTCAAGAACCTGACTGTACCCCTCTATGCCACCATAAGAAAAAACAGATGAGGCACATTTTTCAACTATGGTGGTGATACTTAGCTAATGTACAGAAGAGATCATGGATTACAGACTATACTTGAAACAGGGTGAGTTCTCAATATCTCAATTTATAGATGTCATCTGTATCCTAAATTACTTTATTTCTCTGATAAATTATTATGAGTTCAAAAGCAGATTTATAAATGGCTTAATTGATTGTTTGCAAAGAAAAAAATTAAGGTCAATTAAAATCAGAAACTCTAGTAAGTCTAGTACTATGACAAAAGTAATTGCACAACTACAGGAAACTGAAGTCTTTCATTCCACTTACAGTGATAAATTTGGCTTGGAATGTCTACGAAATTCAGGAGTAAAGGAAATTTTATGCTAGAGTTACTAGTAATTTTGAGTTTCTATTGCATAACAATCAATATTGTTGAAAAATGGAATTAGTCATCAGTGAAGTCAAACATTGCCTTTCCAAGTGCTAAATCTACAGAATCTGATTTTCAAGTATAAGAGTTATTTATAAAACTAATCCAATATATTAATATTACTCTTCTGGGTTTCTTCACCTTGCTAATTTAATACTGAAAGCAATCATACACTAGACCTGTCCATATAGATTCTCTGTAGAGCTGAAAACTTTTCTTACAAATAATGCACTTCATAGCGTCGGCAGAATCTCAAACCACTAATTGCAGGAAGAGATACATTTCAGCTCTATTTTTCAAATTCAGTCAAAATTTTCATGCCAGGTACTTAGTAGGTTTTTGAATTTTCAGATTTTGGTGTTCAGGGACCTAATTCAACACTTGCTTAACTCTAGTGTGATCATATTGATGTCAGCAGAACAACCCCTGATTATTAGTGTGTATAATACTGGACAACTAAGAGCAAACCAGATACTTAGGTGAACGACACAAGCACATCTGTAGCAAACTCAGAACTGGCTGGATTCGATTATGCATCTGTTCTAAGATGTCTCCTTTTCAGAATACACCTTTCTGGAAGGTGGTATGAAGCTAATAACGCCGCAGATGGAAAACCTTTGCAAGTATTACTGGGCATAAGCCTTCTCCTGGACCTTCCAGCCACCTGGTACTCCTCAGGCGGTAAAGAATTGCCAAAACAGCTCCAAGGGAGCAACAAGCAATTTTCCTTGTGTAGCAGAATCCCATGTTGCATGGGAACAGTGTTGGCTTGTTCAATACCACCTACTCCCAATTTGTCAGGACCAAGGGGATTCCTGAAACATGAGATACCCAGAAAATGACTGAAATGCCTTCAGCACCAAAGGTCTTTGACCTAAGAATAGGTCCTGAAGGGACAGCTGCTGCTTGTCACCAGTTCAGATGAGCAAAAAAAGTGGTTTGGAGTTGTCTTCCCGCTTCATACCCTGAATCTGACAGCCTTTTCTCCTGACAAAATAACAAATGAAATTAACACTTCTTGCAAAGCAATTAACAACAAACTTTTAGATTGGTTTCACTAAATCCTCTGTGTTTGATATTTCTAACACCTAATGGACTTAGTTGATAACATAAAGTCCTACAAATGAGGACTAATGACATGCAATAATGATGTTTATGTGTACCTGGATGTAGTGGAACTCTCTCCAGGTCAAAGAGTGACTGACAGATGGGATTGATGTTATTGCCAACAAGGCCAGCAAAGCAAGTCCCAGAATTCCAAGAGACACATAAATCTCCATTCTCCAAACATCATGTTCAATCCAGGCATTTTCTTTTTTTTGTTTGACCTGCCAAAAGAACACCATATTTAAAATAATAGACTGGTACACTTAGCCATTTGTGTGAAATACAGCTATTTTCACTATAACGTTCAGCAAATAAGCCAAGAAACACAGTAATTTTGTTTGTTTGAATGTCTCTGAATGTAACTGCTATTTATTTCTGGTGATAAAATCTCCACTAGTATCTGCAGAGGAAAGGTGGGCTTTAAGTGAGAAGAATGTAGACTTCATCAGCATCTTGGCCTAGGAGAGACTGGTTCTGAGGCCTGTGAGTCTGCCTTCACAGCAGGAGAAATCTTTGACAAAAAAATTCCATCTAGGGCTAAATACCATATCTGGGAGATTATAACAACAGGAAATATATTAACAGCACTATTTTAGGGAGCTAATTCAGCAGGCATTCTTAATTATGGTATCCTGCCAGAATAGTTGTTTAGCTCAATTTTTTTTAAAACAACAGCTTGGTACATTCAGTTGCACTGTGCTTTTAATAAAACTCTAGATTAGACTTTGCGGGTAATAAAAATGTACATTTGCAGTGTATACCTTAAATTGGAATATTCCTTATACTGCAATACTCATGGCACTCAAGGCAATATGCAAGTATTAGGAACTCTCTAGTCACAGGGTATCTTAGACAGCTTTGCCAGCCAATTACTGCCTGTGACTCAGAAGCATGATTGAAATTCTATCTTTTAACAAGTTAGCGTGCATCAGCCCAATTGTGGAGCCATCAGTGTTCACAAATTCAGTTTCTGGCAAATACAGATTATTGAGATTTAGCTCAGCCCCTCCTTCATTGCTGGCTAAACAAAGAATATGTCTAAAAATGGTGTGTGCTTAGTTTTTGTAGATAGTTGGATTGCACTGGTGCAGAGAAGATTAATCCACACTAACAGTGTGCCAAAGACTTAAATGTTCCTGTGAGGCAGGTATAATTATGTGCATTTTACAGAGAGATAAAAAATCCCAAATGAAGAAAATTACTTATTTAATACACACTGGCACAGCTGTGATGACTCTTGACTCTCTATTACATGCTTTAACAACTAGGGCCCGCTCCATTCCATAACAGTGCTCTGTGGGAACCTGCTTCAAAATCAAAGGCAATGAAAATGGCTTCCCCCCCCAACCAGATTTGCTTGAATGAACAAAACGAGGATTTTTTGAACACAGAAGGGTTGGCATTTGTGTTCCCATCATACCTGCTGGAATGCCCAGTTCAGCAGCTTGTATCTGTATGATCTTCTCATTGGATAGCATAAGCTATAGCAGGCGTGCATTGCAGCGAAGAAGAAACTGAGAAGTCCAAATTGCTTTCTTGATAACATCCATCTATCCAGCCACTGGGGAAACCTTTTATATTTGGTGCCAAAGTACAGCTGGAAACCAGCAGCTAATATTCCTGGTAAATATACTAGTGCTAAAAGGGTAATTGAAACCACTGGTAAAACTTTGTTTATGACAAGGATCGGAATTTTATAGAAAACATTTTCCTTTCTGGTTATAAAAGGATATATAACATCTCTCATAGAAGTGTAAATAAAAATTAATAATGAGATCACGGATGCTATCTTCATTGGCAAGTGCCACTTGGGGAACAGATTCTGCTTGCAGTGCTGTTCTGAAGAGTGTTCAAACTCACCAAAATGGTGTGCTTGATGTAAATTAAATAGTGCAGCTGCTTCTGGTGGATTGGTGACTTGCATATCCACATTCTGGAAAGGACAGAAAGGAAATACCAAGTGAGTTCAAAAAAAGATTAAAAACTTCAGTAATGACAGTATTTGCCATCATGGCTTTTATACTGTACTGCACTGAAACCATATACAAAATGTACAAACTATTAAAGACAAGATAGCTTGAAAACATAATGTTTTAAACAGCATAGTCAGTAGTTGAGCAAGGCACTTTTAGCACAGATTTCTCATTTGTCATTCATTATCTGTGGCAATTTCTAAATAGATTTTAATTCCAGGAAGGTAACTACACCACAAGGGAAGATGTATCACAGAATCACAGAAACACTAGGTTGGAAAGGACCTTCAAGATCATCAAGTCCAACCATAATTTCATTCATACCAACCAGTATTTCATTATGTGAAGCATCATTACAGCTTCTTATGATATGAGCTACAGATTTCAAATGTAAAATTTCAGCTACAGACTTAGTGATGCAACCCAAATAATATGCAGAGTAACAGAATCCAGAGTCGAGACAATAAAATATTTCATTCAGTCACTGATATTTTAATGACATTTAATTGGGGGAATAAGGATGTAAGTAGAAATGTGTGGGATCCAGCATATTAGACCAGCTGCACATCTGCCAACTCCAGCATCAAGTCCTGTAGTCTTCTTCCTCTCCTTCATAAATGTAATATTGTCCTCTTAACTTTCATAAAAATTGTGGAACTGAGTCACTTCAGTTTAAAAAGCTGAATTTTCTCCTGCCAAGTAGGCATGACTTGATTCTAATCTCACAGAAGATCTTGGCAGAATTATTGCAGACTTTAGAAGGAGCTAAGCTAGTGCAAACTTTTAGTGTAATATTATAAACTGGTTTACACTGAGATAATATATTAAAAGATTGTCCCATAGTTATAGTTCATGGAAGAGGTACATGATCAGTATACATACAAAATGAAAATATGTGTACCAACAACAGGACATTGCACTTGATGCAGCAGACAGCTGTCCAGGGGTGGAGAACTGATAACATTAGGTAATAAACATGTAACTCCTTTAATATTCCAGTGAAATATAAAGTAAAACTGAACTAATGCTGCAATGGCTCAGCTTTAGAATGACTGATGTGGCAGATGTCCAGACCTCCAGAAAGCGAAATGGCATTGTTCGTTTTGAGGAAGGCAAATATTCGTAGTTCGAAAGTTGCAAGTTAGTGTTCTGCTGTGATACAGGAGATCTTCCCATCTCGGCAGTATTATCTGGCTTTACTCTTAAGAATCATATATTACATTGAATCTGATTAAGCAGTCAGTTCAAACAAGGTACGACTTGTGAATAACGCAAGGGTTAAGTGGGTGCAAGTCTCACATTCATCTTCAATGATACATAGGTTTTTTGTTTTGACAGAGAGATAAAAAATGTATACTGCTATCTTGCTGTAAAATCCTAACTGGAGACAAGGTAGCCTGTTTCCCACATGTCTGACTGACTTGCCTACAGTGACTCACAGTAAAATTAAATGGCATGGTCTTCATTGGGATTTTTTAGCTGAATAGCTACTACATGTTTATTTGATGATAAAAGCATGTCTTTGTAACAGTGACGGTGTAGCCTAAGCAAATCTTTTATTCTCTAGTCTGTGAAGAAAAGTAGAGTGTAGTCTATGCATTGCAGAATTGGAAGTTGGTCTAAATTACACAAACCGAGATTCACATCTGAACCAAGTTTCACCTAGAGATACCCGTTTCTTGAAGAGAGAGTCTGTAAAGCCTAATTCAGTATTTCACAGCCTGTAAGACAGTTCACATTAGAACAGATGCTACTTCTGTGCATCAGCAGTTGCAGAGGCAAATGCTGTTGGAGTGGATTTTTCTTCTGGATTTTTTTGTGTGGTGTGGAAAACTTACTGAATGCCATGTGGCAATTATGAAGACCCCTCCAAAGATAAACTTTATATTCCTGTGTGAAAATCCAAAATTATTTCTACAGAGCTTTGCTCATATGGTAAAATGCAACTGGCAACTAACCCTATGTAGTTTTTAGCTGGCCCAAACTGTGTATCCTTTAGCATGGACTGTAATTAAAACAAATGAGATGCTCTCTACCTTTTTATCTCTTCATGTCAATATTGTGACAAGACTTCAGAAGTATTGATGATATGCCAGTGTGATGGGAACACAGTGTTGCTGGACAAAATCTAATGAAAGATCACAATATTCTGTGTGACACATGAGCTGATTTTTTACAGAAACATTACCAAGTTGCTCAGGTTTCCTGTGTTTCTTCTTGGCATGATGCTCTGACCTGCATTCTGATCAGTGGTGTGACTATCACCTTCCTTCTTCTCCATCGTGGAAACTCCCTGCAAAACAAACACAGGATGTAAAACAGGTTTTGAAATGCTCTACTGGAACTTTGAAGTCTATTTTCCCTCAGAATGTTTTCTTCCCTCTCCTCTGCCAATTTGCTGGAGAAGGTACGATAATCTAGGGAAAGGAAGGTCTGTTCTCTGAGAAGAGAACAGAATAGCTCAGCTTATTTTTTAAGTAAAGTGGAGACTAAGGGAGGATATGAATCAACAGAACAAAATCACTGATGAAAAATAATAACTAAGCTAAATTCTCGTGTCGCCAGTGGAATGAATTAATTAATTCAGGCTGAAAGGTTTTAAATTGCAACAATGAAGTTTGAAACAGCTTACGGAAATAACATGTAAAATGTTATGAAGATGGATTCTGGTAAGTTCATGAGACTTGCTGAGGAAAGAAACTCATGCAAATGAGTGGTTCCTAGTATTTTTTAGGATTTAGGATTTAGATTTTAGAATTGGTCTACCTGACAGTCACTCTGTGGCTTTAGAAGTATATTCTCCCTTTGAGATTGTCAGGAAACCCCAGCTGGAGCTTCACTCATGTTGTTCTAAGGTACACTGGCAATACCCATTCACCCACAAGTACCAGCAGAAATGGTTCGAAGCTACTAAGGACTGTAAGAAATCAGAAGCCGGGAAAAAAAACCCAAAAGTAAGAGATCAGCTAAACTGAAAGAGATGTTTCTGAAAATCCTAGGATAGCAGGAAAGACAGTATCTTGAAGGCTGTAAAATAATTACAAGGACTGCAAGGGCCCTGCAACAAGGACTTCCCATGTGTGCCTCGCACTGTCGCACACTGCAGGAGGAGAGGCACTAGCATCACACCCCTGGAGCTCAGGGTGCCATACCACAGTGTGACTTTCTGTGCCTACCTTTAGGACGTAGCTCCTCCATGTACCTTCCTACTAAACAGCTGAATTACTAGATATGAAACTATTTTGCCAACTACTGATTCTTTTATATCCATAAACCTTTTGGGAAATTGTATGGACAAAACACACTTTGACAGTTGTCCCTTTTTTTTTTTTTTTAACTGCGTCTGGTTCCTTCAGTGGATGAGTCCTACAGTCTTGTACTGTCTGCTAGGGGGGTTTGCTTTCTGCCAGGCCACCAGACTCCTGAAGCCGAAGTATTATTTTCCTAAGTATTTCTCTTTGGATTTTTCCCTCCTGCTTAGCAAGCTCTCCCTTTGGGCATAACCTTTCAGCCAAGTGTTGCAGAGCAGGGTCAACAAGAGCTCCTGTCTGAAGGTCAGGCTGTTAACCCTTTCCTACACCAGCTAATGGATGGTTTGTATATCCTGCACACAAGAAAGCATGGGCTGATGAAGGCACATTTCTATTTCCCCTCTCTATTCCTAGGGCTAGTCCCAGCGACTTTATCACAAGTTTCAGGGTACCAGATAGCTTCATAAAACCTCAGCTCCTGCAGTCCCATGATTAGTTAAGAATTTCTACTTCTGTATGTTCTAATATACTGTATTTCTAGCTGTTAGAATGGCAAAGCATAGTTTACAAACGGAACTCAGTATAATGTACTTACCTGGGAAAAACCAGTAACAAATACAGTGAGCTCCCAATCTATTTTAGAAAGAACTCAGAATATGAAGGGCAGTCACACTGTTTTTGAGGCCTCCTCTCTGATTTTTAAAGTTTGATGTGGGAAAATAAAAAAGACCTAAACTTGTAGATGGACTTCTTACTCTTTTAGGTAATGCAACTGACTTCTTAAAATTGTTAAAACAGCTTGTGGCTCAGATCTTTGCTGCTTTTAATTTTTTTCTGTACTGATCTCCTTTGAGCTTTCAACTGTTAATATTACTAGTCTACATGAGCTTACACAGTGATCCCAGATACTTCATAACTCTCCTCTTCTGACTACCACACTATCTTGGGGGTCCAAAAGCATATTTTAAGTTGTGAAGTTATGCGCGGAAGAGCTTTGCTCACATGATTCTTATGCTTCAGTCTCTTCCGAACTCTTCATTTAGAAGATTTAGAAGAGTCCAGTAATAGCTTCTAGCTAAAGTTTTGTATTGATGAGGATGTAGTAAATGATATCATGATGTGAAAAGTCCATGAGCTAGAATGCCAGCTGTTGATCCTAAAAGCTGATTTATTGGTTCTTTTGGGAAACAATGTTTAATACAATGCTAAATACAGCATTAACAGTTTATGCGGCAGAAGACAAAACGGAAAGGAAAAAGAAAGTGTGTGTGAATGCATGTGCTCATCCATGGAAATATGGGTTATAGCCACGCGACTGCATGCAAGGAAACATAGATGCCGAACCATAACAGTCCATTTGGCTTCTGATACCAGAGTTGACACAAAATTACTTCTTTGGTATGCCCAACAACAAAGCACAGTAATAGTCTTGGAAAACCCTAAATATAAGGCACTTATAGTTCCACTATTCAGTGCCTTATGAATTGCCAGAAAGGTGTCATCTACAGCATGTGTCTTTTTTGAACATATCTAAATAAAAAAATTCAGGAGTCCTGTGAGAGACAGAAACTAATCAGTTATAGTCCTAAGTCACAACTGTTATGAAAGAAAGCAGTTGTAGCAATGTCCATCCTCCATGCACACCCATTCTGCTCTGGGAGGCGGCTGTGAACGAGGATGGAGGATGTCCAGCTGCAGAAAGCCAAATTTCCAACGCAGTGAGTACGCCACTGCATTTTGTGCTGAGAAAACAGGCTCGTTACATCGCTGAGCCAAGAGGGATCCGCACTGTGCAGACATGACCCCGAGAAAACATCATCCAAAGCCAATGAGAAGTTTTCCTGAGTAAGGGCTGGCTCCAGGAAAAAGGAAAAATGGGTAAAATAAACAGGCTATGATAATAATGATGAGGTGATGGTAGAGGCATCCTCCATCCACGGGACAGTGACTACACCTCTCGCCTTTGGCACCATTGGAAAATGACGGCGCGGACGTCTTAGGGGTAACTGTCTCGCTCTGAAAGTGCCCGCTGCCTCGTGCAGGACGGCGCAGGCACTCGGGACACGGGTAATAACTTTCCCCGCTCTCCGAAAATTCTGCTGAGCTCTGCGGAAAACCTGATAAAATCCCGGGAGGCTGGGGCGGGCGAGCGTCGCTCGGGGCTTCTCCTCGGTCAGAGTGCGCCCGGGACAGGGCCGGCGGGGCTGCCGGCC